CGCCCATCCCACTAGTACTGCCCCAGGCCCCGCCCCCACCAGCCTGCCCCGCCCAGGGCCCCGCCTCATCTCCCGCCCCCGGCCGGGCCAGGTCTCTCGCTCACCTTCATGAGCACAGACTCACTGAGCTTCTCCCGGTTGACGATTTTGATGGCGACCTTTTGGCACGTGACACAGTGAATCCCCAGCTTCACAAGGCCTGCGGAGGAGAGGGCAGCGGCTCAGACCCCATGGGGCACCCGGCGCCACGCCCAGGGAGGAGCCCTCCATCCCCAGGCAGCCAGCCCCCAGCTGCACAGCGCTCTCCGACCGCCTTGCCCCGGGCCCTGGGAGCCCACGCGCTCCCGGTCTGGCCCCTCAGACCTCTGGGGAAGGGTCTGCGTGCAGCGCCCCCTCCCGGGTGCTGCACGTCTGTCGGCCCCCCTCTTCCCTGGCCCCCGCCAGCGTGCCGCCCGCCCACAGCCACTGTCTGCCTACATCACTGCCCGCGCCAGCTGGTGCCTGTGCGTCACTGACACCCCGTCCGCCGCATTCTTCCTCCCACAGCCGCCCCTTTGGCCCCCTCAGGCCTCCAGGCCTCTGGTGAGCACTGGCTCTCCTGGCATGGGTCCCAGGCCCACGTGGCCCTTGACACCCACAGAGTTCTGTCTGGTTCTTGAGTCCCTTCCCCAGGTCTGCAGCTTGGGAGCCAGGGTGTCCGGAGGGCCACAAACCTGCCCCCACCCCCACCCCCCACTTTCCTAGACCTCTCCCTCCCACCCTGCTGATCCCTTCCTGGAAGACCCGCACAGACGCTCCCTGTACACACACACAGAGACACACACACACACACACACACGTGTGCACACTCGGTTCCCCAGGGCACCAGGGCAGCCCCCCTCCACCTCCCAGGGGGCTATGGATTGAATTGTGTCACCCCAAAATATGCCTGGGGTTAAATGCTGTCTTAGAGCCCCTTGTGGGAATGGGTTGTGTTAATGCAGCGGGATTATTGTAGGGTGTGCTTGAGGGGCCTCCTCCGACACATACAAGAGATGAAACAAGCCAGTGACAAGCAGAGGTAGGGGAAGCAGATGCCCTGTCACAGGCAGGTCACCAGGGAGCCAGGGCACAGGGACTCTCCCCAGGGCCAACAGACAGAAAGCCTTCCACAGCCAACCTCCAAATTTGGACTTCTAGCCCCCTATACTGTAAGAAAGGAGCTCTGGTAGCATAGTGGCTAAGACAGTTGCCTGCTAACCAGACGGCTGGCGGTTCAAACCCACCAGCCACTCCTCGGAAGGAAGGTTGGGCAATCCTACTTCCGTAGTGATACTGCCTCGGAAACCCAAGGAGGGGTCGCTATGAGTCAGGTATGACTCGACGGCACATAACAACAACAACAACAACATACTGTAAGAAAATAAATTTCTGTTTGTTAAGGTCACCCCCTTTTGGTCTTCCAGTTTAGCAATATCAGAGAACTAAGACACAGGGTTGCTGTCAAACTTCTTAAAGACTCACTGCCCTGGTCCCCTCCACCTTGTCACTTGGGCTCATCCTTGTGTCTACCTGTTCTCCCTTCCAGACTGTCACCCCCCCCCAGGGCCAGCAGCTGCCCTGGGGCTGGACCACCAAGCTCCCCTTCCCAGGTATCCCCACCAGGGTCCTCCAAGGTGGACCCTTCATCCTTGTTCCTGGCAGGACATTTGGAAGTCTGCGGGGGCTTGGGTATCATAACGGTGGTGGCCTCGCAGACATTCTGGGCCAGTGCCTTGCAAAATGTCAGGCCAAAGCCCCCACAATTCCATCTCCCTGTGCCCAGGCACTTGGGGGAGCAGCCATCTGGCGAGCTGCACCCTAGAGGCTGAGCGATGAGTTTCCTGCTTGAACAGACATGGATGTCCTCAGGAAGGCACCCCCTGTGAAAACTGTGCGACGCTTATGCTTAGACTCGTTCATGCTCCACCAAGAGCTGTTTGTGACTGAAGGACATGTGGCCCCAGCAATGGCACTCCCTTCATGGGCGGATGGCCCCGCCCACCAGGTCCCGTTTTCCCTGCAGGACGCTCCCTGCACCATTTCCTCTCTCTCCACCTACAGGTGCACACACCTGCATGGCCATGTCAGGCCCAGCAGGTCCCACATGCCCGTGTGGCCACATCTGGGCCCAGTAGGTCACAGCCTCACTCACGACTGGTTGTTTTATTACCCATCCTTCTCCTACCCACTTTCCACCCACCAGGGTGGCACTGATGGTGTGTGGGCAGGCTGGAGCCACTGGCCTCCTGGAGGACTCGGGGGCTGGCTTGGAGGGTGGGTATGGGATAATGGCCGATTCTCATAAACAACAGGAGACACGCAGCCGACGGAGCTGGAAAAGGAGCCCAAGGGCTGCAGGGTGAGGGAAGCCACAAACCTAAACCCAAACTGCAGTGGAGTCGATTCTGACCCACAGCGCCCCTAGAGGACAGAGTGGAACTGCACCACAGGTCTCCAAGGCTGTCAGTCTTCACAG